GGGTTGTTTCTTTTTGTGATTGTGCTCTTTGGCTAGAGAGTGTTGTTTATATAACAGGATAAAGTACAAAATTATAAGCTCCAAACTCCTCCAGAGAAAAGCTCTCCCAAAGCTCGACCCCCAGGATGGATGGAAAATATGAGTGTTTACTGGCTGGAACATTGAGCTGCAATGGAAATTTCAACATTCAGAAGAAGATAGCAGAGAGGAAGGGCCTGTAGAGCAGAAACAAGTCGCCCTTCAACAAAGGGGTCAAAGAAAAGGAAGAGTCTCCTGTTGGCCTCACTCTGATAGCTTCCCTTTCTCAGCTGGAAAGGCCGCCTCTCTGGAACCCAACTCTGGGAGCACACTGCTGATGGGTGATGGCTGAAGTCTCTTCCTTCCACAACATCAAGCCATCTCCCATCTCCTTGGCAGGGGCTGATGTCCCCCTTCCTATAAAGTTAACATGCTTTTAAAAAAAGAATTAGAAGCATTTAAAGGACTAGGTTCAGAATAACTAACCTCTGCACAAAGGCAGAGGTTAGAAGGAAAACTTTGCCACTTCAGTCACTGAGTAACTTTTGCAGAACTAAGGGTCTCTCGTTTCAATCCTTACACACGCCTCTTCTTCCTTTTTTATTGTGGGGGGAAAAAGATAGAAATTAAAATTTACCATCTTAGCCACTCTTAAGTATACAATTTCCCGTGTTAAAAATATACTGTGTGATGAATTTCTAGAACTTTATCTTGCAAAACTGAAATTCTATACTGCTGAACACTAATTCCCCCTCTTTACTTCCTTCAGTCCATGGCAACCAACCACCTTTCTACTTGATTTTGACAGGCCCGACATTAGGGGCTTCTTATGAGTAGGATCATACAGCATTTGTCCTTTTGAAACTGATTGATATCACAAAACATAATGTGCTTGAGGTTTATCTATGTGGGAGCATGTGACAGGATCAAATCCTCTATGAGACATACTTTTAAAAATATTCTTTCTTTTTGCCTATGCTGTAAAATTCAGATCTTTTGTCACATCTGTCTGACACTGTTCTCTAACTGTTCCGTGTGTGTGTGTGTGTGTGTGTGTGTATGTGTGTGTGTGTGTGTAACTCTTTCTCCCTGTTAGGTGGTAATTTCTCAGTAATCAAGTACTATATCTTCAGTCTTTTAGGTTCCCCCCAGCGCCCCACACCCTGCTGAGAAGATGCAAGCTACCCCTTAGATAGTAAACGCTGTGAGATCAGGTTCCATTCTGTTTTATTTATCGCTAATCCCCTGTGTCCAACCTAATGTCGGACACGCAGAAAACAAAGAGGACATATACTTTAAAAGAAATAAAGTGACCCAAATTTCCATCACTTCATACTACACTGTATACCCCATTCCCCGGGACTGAATTTCAAGTTCTGATATACGGATGTTCCATGGAGTAGGCACCAGCCACACTGAGTAGCCTGTGACTGTGACGTCTTGGCCTGTCACACAGAGGAGGAACAAACTCAGGGCAATGCTTTCAACTCCCCATCTTTAATATCGAGGAACAGACAGATCCCCAGGTTGCGTGTGTGGAGAAGCCAGAGATGGATAAAAATAATTCAATGACAAACGCTGGAAAAACATACAAAGAGGCAGAAGCCAGACATTCGTGGGATTCCCTGACAGCTCGATCCACAAGGAAGGGCTGGACTGGAAAAAACAGAGCCTCAGGTTCCTGCCAAGCTGTCTGAGGCCCTGTCCTTCCCAAATCATTCCAAGCAGCAGCCAAGACTTTACAGTAACCCTTCCAGGTCTCACAAAGCAAGATGCACTCACTGTGAACCCACCGAATGCTCCTCACTTAGAAACACTCCTTCCCGACGGCGTCCAAGTGCACGCGAGGTTGTGCAATGACCAGATGTCCCCGCACACCCACCCTCAGCCCCTCAGGTTTCCCTGCATTCCCAGAACATGGATAACTAAAAAGCAGCTTGAAAACCCTACCCAGCTCATGGGCTGAAGAAAAGCTCCAATACTCAGGTATCAGCATCTAGAAATCAAAAACTATCTTTCATTAAGGAAAAAAAAAAAAAGAGGTCATGAATGTTCGGTACCAGCATCCCAGAGCCCTATTGTATAACTCTAAATCGGACTCAGTTGGAGGCACACCTCAGGCTTCTAAACATGTGACTGGATTTGGCCCTGAATACTTTCTCTTCTGGAGAATGGCCTGCAATTAATCTCACTTATTACCTCTGAAAAGTAACAACAGAGGAATGGCTCGCCAAGTCCAACTACAGAGTGTCTAGGGAACTGCGAGCTACATGGCCAGGCCTCAGACTGTCTGGGCAAGTTGTGGGCTCTCTGCCTTTCTCTCCCACAACAAAGCTTGAACAGGGACTCCAGACAGACCGAAGGAACCAAGGGATTTGAAGAGCTGGGCTGAGCTCACACTGACCCAATGGGAGACGACAGCCCTGAGGCTACATCTGGGGTGGTTTCAAAACAGCGGAGAGAAGAACAAGGTTGTCTGGTGAAAACTTGTGTGATCCATAAAATTGAGAACAATAGCAATACCACAGGGAAATGAAAAATAACATTTTGCAGAGTTCTCGTGAGTCACCAGTTTTCATTCCTGTGGCTACCAAGTCACTGAATCCTCCGCTACGCAGAAGAAAAGTCCAGCCAGCAATGGGATTCTCTTTACCTCTTGTTACTGTTTACAGGGTAACCCCTCGTTTAGCAAGTTATCAGTTTATCAGCAGTGGAATCCACTGTTGCTATTGTAGAAGAACTAGTATGAGCACCTTTTATTTACTTAGCACCCACTTCCAGGGAGAACAAAGGGTTTTAAGGGCAATCTAAAAGCTCTCAGAACAGGCCAGTTTATAGGTAAGTATGCTTACCTAATAAAAAGATTAAATGTATAGCTTAGGGTCACTCGGTGTCAAAACCAGCAATAAAACTAACATCTCCAAGCTACCAATCCCACGTTCATTAAACACAATCATGCTGCTACTATGGGAGGAGCAACAAGAGCTAAACAGCCCCAAACAGCCACCTACCAGGTAAAGATGGCTATCAGGGCACAGTACTGTGTAGAAAGTCGATTTACAGCCAGGTCTGGAAGAACCTCTGGGAATTCACTGAGGGCAGCTTTAGGATGGGTACCTCTGGGAATTCCACATGCAACGGGAACTCCCAAGCTGAGCCACCAGGCTGTCCGGACAACCAGAGGTTACCTGGGAGCACAGGAAGAGTTCCTCTGCACTGGAATGGGACCTAAAAACCGGCCCAGCAGCCTGAAGAACAGTTGAAGAGAGGACTGCTGTGGGCACAACTGCCCTGAAAAGGAAAAGGCCAAGAGACTTTGTGGAGGCTGCTTCTGGTGCCACTGGCTCTGGAGCAGGTCACAGTGGGCCCTTCTACCACTGCTCATGAGCAGTCTGGGAGAACATCACTCACGGTGCTGGGCTCACGACCTGGCTCTGCCCTGACAGATTCCTTCATCTTTCTGTGCCTCAGCCCTGGCAGGTGCTACTGGGAGAAGGCTCTACACCAGCCATCATTTTTATTAAAAATTTTCCCCGCATTCCATCTACAAGTATAAAAAATGTGAGACCTCTACTTGTCCAAAATGTGTAGTTTTGACATTTTGCTTATAGCGTGGAAAATGGTTGTAGCCTTGCTTATAGATAATACATCCAAGGTTGCAGTGAAAATGTCCTCCATAGAAACAAGACTCTGGTTGTAAAATGAAAATGGAATATTTGGAAATATTTTATATGGAAAATAAAGTTCTATGGTATAAACAGAATTTCTTTTTTTTACGACTTATGTTTTAGGAATGTGGTCACTCTGTAGACTGTAAATCACCAAAAGACAAGACTTCTCCTGTGAAGAGAACTGTGTGGGAGGATGTCCCAACTGAAAAAAGTCCTGCCTTTTGGGCTTCAACTTTTTCTAATTCTCAGTTGAGATGACTCTTCACCCAGACCACAGTAATTACTGGTGTGAAGACCGCTGCAAAGCATAATGTAATGGGCTTATGTTTATACTGTTTCCTGGGCAGTCTCTGCTCCCCAGATTAGCTCCTTAAGTAATAATTCTAGTACCAACACATACTTTAGCAACAATTAGATTTTCCTCCATATCCACAGTCTTGGGTCAACCCCTCAACCCCAGCATACCAAGAGATACATGACTGGAGGTGTTGGCATGGAGGTAGGGGTTTCTGGAGCCACAGCTGTGGTGAAGTTCCTATTTTTTTGGAGGGAACAGTATCTCAGCTGCTCAGAATACTTCATCACAATAGCCACATTCCCTTCTAGTTCGTTTGACTCAGAGATAAATATAATAAAACACATTTAAAAGACCCCAAAGCAAGATGTACTGAGAATCTATTTCTTACATTTTTTTATATAGGGGGGCTTAAAATATGGATTGAGACCAGATTTCAACATAGTGGTTTCTTTTTGAATTCAGAAACTGCTTACTTTATGGCCAGAATCTATTTGGATTTCATCCTCTGCCACTTCTCCCAACTACATAAAGGAAAGCTCCTTCCCACTTCCCAAATGAAAACTGTCCAGGGAGGCTGTTTGAGTTTAATTATATGACCTAGATGAAAATATAAAAACAAATACATCCTTCAAAAGAAAGAAAGGGCAAAGTTACTGCAACACCATGTAGCACAAGGTATAAAAAAATGAGGAAACAAGGAGAAAATGTCAAAAGTCAAAACATGAAAATGCTGCCTACAGGGAAGGACTGAACCGAGTAGAAATTCTTGCTCTTTCTCCCAGAAGTGAATTTACTGCACTGTACCAGGAACTTCCTCTTCACTTATTTGCCCACAAATTGTCTTACAAGTAAAAGGAGGTCCTCTATGGAAGTGCCAGAGGAGTGGGACAGGCAGGGAAAGGCATCTCTCTCAGCCATCTCTGTGCAGAAGACATGGAAATGGCTTGCTTAGGACCCAGGCCATCCCTGTGTGACCAGAATGTCCTGGTGTGACGCTTTGGCCCTTCACATACCTGCCTCCAGGAGGGCTGGAGTGGCTCTCAGGAGCTTGCGGGTCTGACTGTATTGACCATGTCGGGCCACTGGGACTGATGACAGGCCGAAGGGTGGGGGGAGTGGAAGCACTGCTTCTGTTTATGACGCCACTTGCCAAATTCAGGTTTGTTACCTAGAAATGAAGTAGGAAAATGACCTGATTTTACTGCATGTTAGAAAAGTCATTAAAAACATATGGGAAAAATCAAATAAAGTCCAGGAGATGCTGACTCATCTGAACTGAAACAGTTGCTGTGACAAGGGCACCCATTACAGGCTAGCTTCTGTGCACACTGAAGAGCAGAAGAGAGGGTGCCTGGTGGCAGTGTATGTTAACAACTATTTTTCTGCAGAGGCATCTACTATGCTAGGCGCTGTGAAATACAAAGAATAACGAAAACAGCAAGAATGAACTGAATATTTACTCTGTACCAGGCAGATTCTAAGAAACTAGACAAGCTACTTAGTCTTTCTGGCCTTCATTTCCTCATCTGAAAAATCCCAAATGTTAAATAAAGCATAGTCATAAATAATAATCACTGTGATATACAAAGAACTCATTGATTTAGAATGAAAAAATACAATTAAAAGAAAAAGAAGGAATATTGATCATGCAATTAAACATTTAAAAGTAGTCATTTCCACAGGCAGTCAAAGAAATATGAATTACAAGATCCACTTGTAGGGCCTCCCCGGTGGCACAGCGATTGAGTGCTGGGTTGCTAGGCTGCCCACAGCCTCTGCAGTGCCAGTTTGATCCCCGGCCGCCGGGCGAGGGTCCCACATGGTGCGCAGACCTCTCCTGCTGCCCACTGCTCCCCTCAGCAGTGTATTTCGTCAGTCTGCCTGCTCTGCTCCCTGCTCTGACTCTGGTGAATTCTCTCACCCTCCCACGCTTCTGACTGTACCCAGTGCTTGTATAAATAAACAAATCTTTAAAAAAACAAAAACAAAACAAAAACAAAAACAAGACCCACTTGTATGTGCTACACTGACAAACAATAATGATAAAAAATATTAATACTTAATTTTGGCACGGGGTGGTATTAGATAGGTATTCATACTATTCATGTGAGTATAAACTAGTAGAATCTTTCTAGAAATAAAATTTAGCAATATATTATTAAAGGAATTAAAGTATTAGTACACTTTACTGCTACAATCTTCTGGCAACTATGCTAAAAACAATTACAGATCAGCAATGACAGTGACTATTAAATGCCAGTTTCTATTTAGTAGAACTTACAGTGTGTCACGGTCTGCAGAAATGAGTATTTTCTGCAACTCACTTCAATGGCCATAACTGTGTTGGTAAGTACTATTATAACTCCCACAAAGAAGGAAACTGGAGGCCTGGGAATAAGTGGTCAAACTAGGATCTGAGCCATGGTCTTTGGAACTCCAAAAAGCCCATGCTCCTAGACAACTACACTATATCGTGAACAGATTTTGAAAACAAGCATGGATTTTAATATTGAAAAAGGAGGTCTAGATGGCAAACAGTATTGTTAAACAAATTTTGCTCTATCTCTATAAAGGAGCAATATGTATCCATCAGATTTTTTCTGGAAAAATATTTAATGATCTAGAAACATGCTGATTATATTTAGTTAAAAAAATAAAACCACAATGTGAAACTGTACAGAATATATTCAAATGTCCTTAAAGGCACACACACACACACACACACACACACACACACACACACAAGCAGATGTGTGCTCCTAAAGCACTAGAAATAAAAATCTAAAACACAGATAGCATCTATTCTGAGAGCTTAAATTTTCTTCTTTAGAGTTACCTGTATTTTCCAAATCCCTTTATGGGGCAGACATTATTTTTACCATCCAAAAGAAAAATCCTAAGTTATTATGAGAAATATAGATGTAAGGAGACAAGCTTAAAACTTGGGTGGCAAGGAACCGGGGAAAAAAAGGATGATTTGGGAGGCATTTCAAAATAAGTTGTACAGGGAATAGAATTAATAAAACTTGGTTTTAAAAAATGCGCGGGTTGGGGGTGGGGGGCTGAGTCAAAAAGTGGATGTGAAGTTGAATGCAGGGTGTTGCCCGAGACGCTACAGCATAGTGACCCAAGAAGCTGTGGATTCCATGGAAAGTGTTCTCCTATGAGAAGTCCTAAAAACCTAATCCTTTTCACATTTCCAAATAGACAAATTCTGGATATTTTAAGAAATCTAAAAATTCTGAAAGAAATAAGTTATTTTTAGTAATCGCTTAGTATTTCATTCCCAGTTATAGGATTCAGGAAGTGAGACTGGCCCAAGAGCTTCACACTAAGAGCCCAAATATTCTTCTTGGGAAAAAAGCCACTTTCCACAGATCAGGAGTGATTCTGGAGTCTGTGGGGGTGGGGGACGGGACACTTGGGCCCCACCCTCCACATGTGGACCCATTTTAGAAGGAGCCTTGGGAGCCAGCCTTGGTTTATCATTTCTAACCCCCTTTTGCTGCTACTAGGGGGAGAAGGAAGACATGAGAAGACTAAAGGAAAGGATGCCAGAGGGGATTATGGCAGAATGTTCTGGTCCCTGGTGCCTTTGAAGAGCCGCATCCTTCTTCCTGCACCCTACAGGCAATATAGGTTAGGTTCTCACTCAGACTCCCTGCAGGACTAGACTCATCCTGCCCCACACCTTCCTGCCCTGATGCCTGGGCTTCAACATCAGCACTTTGAAATGAGACATGATCTTGCAGCTTGTAAAAATACAACAGTGTGAGAAAGGTCTCTGTGATATCTAACAGCTTCTCTGATGACTGTCTCAGCCAGCTGTGCCAAAGACTTAATAAAAAAGACTTATTAATAATTTACAGTGGAACAGCAATAAAATGGACAAAATGTATACACTTGACCATGTTTAGTATAAAGTCTGTAGTTGGGAGATTTAGTAAAAGGAAAGAGAAGAGATAATCAGACCCGGTAAATCCTTGATCTTTTGGCTAGGCTGCCCCTAATTTAAACACCATCATTTTTGTCCTATCAGCCAACACTTACTAGCGCTCACTCTGTGCCGTGCTCTGGATGTTCTTGCATCACCCTAATGTACATTCAACATCAATAAGTCCTCAGAAGTAGGCTCTGTTGTTACTCCCGATTACAAAAGAGAAAACTACAGTCTAGAGGTGCTAAACAATTAGACAAAAGTCACACACCTACTAAGTGGCGGGACCCAGATTAGGAAAATCTTCCTCTAAGTGCAAGTGCATATGGTGTACAATTTCTCAAATAATACAGTTTATCAGTTGGATTCTTACAGTCATGTCAGGTACTTATAAGTACGTGAGGTTTCATGTTTCTCTTACTCCTTACCCATTATTCACAAAACTAAATGCTGCTATATCCATTGCAGAAATGGAGAAACTAAGACTCAGGTTATGGTAAGTAATCTGCCTAAGGTCACACAGCAGTTCTAAAACTCTTATTTTAAAATCCATTTTCTAGTTTTGAAATTAATACAAAAACAGTCCAGTTATCCTTGTTATGAGAGATTTTCAAAAATATAATAGTTACATAACTCAAATTCTGAAAACAGTGATTATTCAAGAATTCACCTGCTGTTTGCTGTTACCAAACTATACCAGCTATTCCTTGTTTCTGTTAAATTTTATTGCCCACTGCTTATCCTTTACCAGAGGACATCAAAGAAGTAAAGCAAAGAAAAAACATACTCAGTTTTGTTTCTTAGCAGATACATTAAAAGGTGGCAAGAACATGCAACTAATTTTGTATTATTGGTAGGTTTCGTTTTTTTCCTGTAACAGCCATTCCTTATATTGGCTCATGGATAAACCAAGAATTGGTAGTCATTGTGATTTTCTTCTACACAAAAGCAAAGTATTATTTATTTTTAGAAATAGCAAAAGTGGGAAGGAGTAGGGAAAATTATTATCTCAGCAACTTTAAGGTTTTAGTACTTCTCAGTGTTGTTTGGAAGCTCAGGCATTAATTAACACCAGTAAGTACACTGTTAAATAAGCCGAGGATGCAAAAAAGTAGATAAAACAGTTTAGAGCAAGTTTCAGAAAATCTGAAGTCTACATGCTATGCTGCCATGAGAAATAATGGTCATTAAAAATAAACCAAGAAATTTAAGCCTAAAAACAATCAGCTTGTTAAATATTCTTCCACCCCCGCCTTTTTCTAGTTGCTTGGCTAAGTGAATGCCTGCCTGTGGGAAAATTTAGTCATGGGTTCAACTACCACCCGAATTTTGGGGCCTGTTAGCAGTTTCACTCCTTGCTCTCCTCCTCCTCTTCTGCTCCCACTCTCCTGGAGTAGCTTAGCCAGAGGTTCCCCTCTCATTCCCTTCCTCATGTCCATTGCCACAGTGGCTCAGTGCATTTTTTTTCTTTTCGTACCAAAATACTGTTTATTTTAGAGCCAGTCTTCCGAATAAGGCAGGTGAGCAAATATGTGAATGTGTGGGGTAGGGACACATTGCATGCATTCCATCTAGACAGGTGTTTAAATTACAGCAGGAATAAATACAGGTGATGGATTGAAAAGGGGGTAGGAGAAACAGAGAGGGCGGCCAATTTCCGGCGGCTGGCCCGCCCAAGTGTTACTGCTTGTTACTGCTGTTTGCTAAAACTAACACTGCTGCCAGTGCTATAATTAAAATATGATGGCATTGCCTTGATGGCTTCCCAGAATACACCCACCACCCTCCCAGATACATAACCTTTTGGTATCCACAGAGGATAACTACATCACTGTTGTTTTCATTAGCATGTCCTAGAAATACTGCAGTTCTGAATGCTCAAAAGCAGTCTATACCGCAAAGATAATTCAATAAATATTTACCACATTGCCTATCATAGGCAAGGTCTTGGGTAAAACCCTAAGGATATATATTTACTAAAAATGTGACCCCTGGCCTCAAGTCATGAAGGAATTTATAATCAGTTGAGAAAAGACACCTAGACAAACAGCAATACCTGAGGCCTCCTGAATGTGGCAGTGCATTAGCAGCAGTGCTAAGGAGATTCAAAGATGGTACCTGAGCTCATCCTAAAAGGGTAGGTAGGAGGACTAGTGTGGGGATGGAGTGGTGGTAGAAAGAAAAAGTGTAAGAAAAAAATGCAGAGAGAGATAAGCAGGAAGAGTGTCTGA